TGAAGTATGAAAGCCCTAGCCTTTACCGTTCAAAAGTTATGGCCAAGTTTACAGTTTTTCCATAAGTACGGAAATCTCCAAGGTCAAGGTCAAAAGGTCAAAGTTGTTGGTATCCAATGAAATGTCTTGCTACAGAAAATACATATGTGAAATATTAAAGCCCTAGATTCTACCGTTCAAAAGTTATGGCCAAAGTAAAAGTTTGGAATTTTTTTGTAAAAGTGGATCAAACTCCAAGGTCAAGGTCAAAAGGTCAAATTTGATGGAAGGTCTTGCCACAAGTATTACATAGGTGAAGTATGAAAGCCCTTGCCCAAATTTTTCCAAAGTTATCTCCAAGGTTAAAGTTTTTAAAAAGTAGGTCTAACTCCAAGGTCAAAGGTCAAATTTTTAATATCCAATGAAAGATCTTGCAACAAGTATTACATTTGTGAAGTATGAAAGCCCTTGCCCGAACTTTCAAAAGTTATGGCCATGGTTAAAGTTTTTAAAATTGAAGGTCAAACTCCAAGGTCAAGGTCAAAAGGTCAAAGTTGTTGGTATCTAATGAAAGGTCCTATCACATGGATTACATACTAGTATGTGAACTATGAAAGCCCTAGCCCTTACCATTCAAAAGTTATGGCCACGGGTAAAGTTTTTGTGACGGACGGACAGACAGACAGCTAGACTGACACACTGACAGACGAATGAGATTTAATGTCCCCTCGCTTTTGCAAAAGCGAGGGACAATAAATATGGCATACTATGTGATTTCTTTTACTTCAAATATCGAATCAGCGTATGAATGGAATCAATTATTATAAATTGATAAAATGTCGATGTACATGAATGCCGAGTTGTAGGCCATAGCAAGTATTTTCTTTTCCTCGAGAAAACGTTTTTAATTAATTCTGCTTCATGGGAATATAAAAAAGGCGAGTTAAAAAGGAGCACAATTCGTGCCCATGGAATTTTCAACAGTGGAAAATTTCGTCTCCAAAAACTACACAAATATTGAGGAACCCCAACATCCTGAGTAAGTTGTACATATAAAAGTATACAATCAGAGTGTTTTCATCGAAGTACAATTGTAATTTTGCTGATGACCAATAACTACATGTGAAAATTTTCGAATTCAATTTTTACTGATATAGATTTTCATTTATTGTGAGCAAATATTGTACATGTATAAAGTATGGAAAAAAAATTGTAATCGACTTTTGAAAAATTGATATTTTTAACCTTTCTAGAAGTACTTTTGAGTTTTTCAGGACCTACATCTGATTTACACAATTTCTAGAATATACAGAAGCACAGACTCTGAAGTTTCTCCTTTGATATTTGCAGTTGATATCTTAAGTAAAGAGTAAGAGCTTGGCAACGCATTTGCTGGACCCAGCAATAAAACCTTGTAAGGATTTTTATGAAGTTTAGGAATCCAGTTCAGGAAGATTAGATGGATCTCATCATGTCTGACCGGAATATTAATGCGACACTGAGAATCATCCGAGGTTGTCTCCACCCCCTCCCCCCTCCTCCCGTCGCGCAGTGATTTAAGCCTCTGCTCTAGAGTCGCGAAGGATCCTTATGTCGTGGATTCGAATCCCAGTGTGGGATGGGAAAACTGGTCCTTCGGATGAGACCGTATAAACCAAGGTCCCGTGTCGCAGTAGGTGCTGGGATGAAAAAGACCCCTCACTGCTCTATGGCCGTAGGTGCTGAGTATAGAACAAAACTTGCAGCTCTCCACAGGTGGCAAGAGGTGGCGTCTCCATATGAGTGAAAATTTTTCGAGAGGGACGTTAAACAACATACAATCAATCATCCGAGGCTAGCCGAATGGCGAGCTGGCTCAAAGGTCTAAATGGCTGAAAAATAGCTGGAATATCTTTAAATAGCTGTTGTTGATTATTTTGTATATACATTAATAAACTACTAAGTCAATATTGACCATAATGACATTGCATACAAACATTTACTGAGTATTCTAACAGGTCGAGGAAACTATTTTCTGTGACGTCGGAATAAATTAACATGTTAAATGAGGAACCACCTGACTGACAAACCGACCAATCAGCTGAATGAGTTGCATTATGGGTTAAATTACTACAAAAACACTACACGTATGTTCGAAAAGAGCAATCTTTAATTCGCTCTCGGAAAGATGTTATGCATTTTTTCAAGCGTTTTACACACTTAATACAATATGTACATTATTATAGATCTATTAAAACCATTCTCACAATTACATACAAATGATTTACAACGGTAAAATTAGGGTTTTCTCCACTCCATTGTACAAGTCCGTTTCTTGACAGCTCCCCGTGCTGTACTGTCAGTGAAAAGTGCATTTCACGTGACTCTTGCTAGGTCAAAAACGGTCAACTCTGCGGTGTATTCACGTATTGCCAACGTTAACAATGCATATAACTTCAAAATATATGCTACTCAATACACGTTCTCTGATCAATGCACATGAGAATTAATACAGTGTGAATAAAGAAAAAAATGTGCAACTTAAGTTTTTTTTTAGTAAATGCATTAAATCTTAATTGCTATTAAAAAAATAACAAAGCAACAACAAATTTAACCAGTTACACGACAAATTCATAAATATCGAGTTAAAAACTGGATTCTCATTTACTAGTGAAGACTTTGTGAGCGGTATAATTTCAAAGTACTATTTAACAAGGAAAATTGACTTTGTTTGTAAATGTGAGAATGGGAAATCTCAATTAGTACCTATTTTTTTGTATTTTTCACAAACACATTTCAAAAAATTGTCAGTTGACTTTCCTGCAGTCATTTAAAATCGCATCCTAAATTTCTCTAAACCACGTGTTTGTAGTAAAAATAAAGATGTAGTAGACCATCATGCTTTTCGGCTCATTCACTGGATTGGACCATCGTTTGCTGTGAGCACCTCTGCGCAGTGATAACAATATCCATATAAGGTAGTTTCCTCGACCTGTCTAACCAAACACTATAATTTCATTCAAGTTTAATAATTTCTGGGGGTTTTCATGCGCCCGTAAACGAAGTTTCGGGTGGTATACATGTATAGTTTTTGTCGTGTCCGTCCGCCTGTCTCTCTGTTCGTCCGCAAAAACTTTAACCTTGCCCATAACTTTTGATTTAGTGGAGCTATGGCATTCATATTTCACATGTGTATTCCTTGTGACAAGACCTTTCTTTGGGTAACATCAAATCTGACCCCTTGACCTTGACCTTGGAGTTTTACCCACTTTTACACAAAAAATTCAAACTTTTACTTTGGCCATATCTTTTGAACAGCAGATACCAGGTCACTTACACTTAACATATGTGAAGTTTGTGGTAAAACCTTTCATCAGATACCAACAACCTTGACCTTTTGACCTTGACCTTGGAGACTTATGAAAAAACTTTAACCTTGGCTATAACTTTTGAACAGAAAGTGCTAATGCTTTCATACTTCACATGTGTAATCCTTGTAAGAGGACGCTTTATTGGATAGCAAGAACCTTGACCCTTTGACCTTGACCTTGGAGTTTGACCTACTTTAAAAATACAACTTTGACCATATTTTTTGAAGGGTTAGGACTAGGACTCTCATACTTCATATCTATAATTCATGTGACAAAACGTCTTATTTGATACCAAGAACCTTGACCCTTTGACATCGGAGTTTAACCCACTTTTACACAAAAATTGCAAACTTTTACTTTGGGGCCCTAATTTTTAAACGATAGATACTAGGAATTTCATAATTCAAATATCATTTTTTTTTGGCAAGACCTTTCATTTGAAACCAAGAATTTTGACTTTTGACCTTGACCTTGGAGATTTCTGTACTTACGAAAAAAGTCTAACCTTGGCCGTAACTTTTGAACAGTAAGGGCCAGCGCTTTCATTCTTCCAATATGTAATCTTTGAGACAAGGCCTTTCTTTAGAAACCAACAACCTTGACCCTTTGACCCTGGAGTTTGTCCTACCTTTAAAAATGTTCACCTTGGTCATAACCCTTGAACAGGTGGTGCTTGGGTTTTATATTTCACATATGTATTTCTCCTGAAAAGGCCTTACGTTAGGTACCAACATATTTGATCTGCATTTGAGAAAGCTTAATCTTCGCTATGTTGCCATACGGGGGCATCAGTGTTTCACAAACACATCTTGTTTCTAAAGGGGTTTGGTGTTTTGAAAATAAAATTGAATGAAATATCTTATATGTTGCTTGTTTCAAAGAATATGGATATCAATGTAAACTATACTGTGAAATCACATATTTTCGGGGGGTTAAATTTCCGTGGTTGGAAAAAAATTATGGGTTCAAGGGGATTGGATTTCGTGGATGAAGAACTGTTGAGAATTATATAAATGACATTTCACATTTCGTGGTGGACTCGAATTCGTGGGTCTCTTCATACCTCGAAAACAACGAAAATTAACCCCCAAGAAAATTAAGAATTTCACAGTATTAAGAAATCCCTGAAATAAATTTTCGTGAGATTGCATTGCATTTTGCTTGTGTTACATAAATTTCATTAATTTAACAAATTTAGCACTATCAATAACAATTTCAGATTGTTATGCTAGTAAAAAGACGTAGGTTTGATTTTGTTGAAATACAAAAATTTAATGCTTCATGTCAATTACTGACATAATGAGCATGAACTTTGAATAACAACCTGAAACACATATTTATTGTACATTCAAATATACTATACATATTTACATATGGCAAGACTCCAAAAGACGCCAAGACTCCAAAAGACGCCATCCTTTAAACAATTAAACACAAATTGACTGTTTGCCATAAAAATAGATTAATTCAGTCTCCGAGGAAATAGCTAATAAATTGTGTCAAAATCTAAAGGAAATTTATGTCAGATAAATTCCTTGCGCCCCATGCCATGGATTCGATTAGCATCGTAATATGATGTATATGTTTTTTACCAAGCTCTTCTAATGCCATCCATCACTTCGCTTATTAATTCCTATTCACTTTCATGTAAAATAACTAAAAAACACACAGTAAACAAATAAAATTTTACTTTAAAGGATAACTTTCGGCACAAAAATTGATTGATGACAAAAGCAGACAACATTCAACATTAAATATTAACTAAAGCACCCACACATGTTTGATTGCTCTTCGCTAAAACTTAACAAAGTTATGCGATAACGATATCATTATTTTTGCGAGATTAAAATTTTAGCGCATGAGGAAAATTTGAGATCGAAAACGAAAACATTCATTATCATTTAATCATGTTTTCTTCCCTTAATACTTTTCCGAAGTGGTAGACCGAATTTTTCACCCGTTGACAAATGTTTCATTGAAAGTATATTTATTGGTGTTAGTTGAATTAGAGGATATAAATTGTACTATGAACATAGATATTTTACTGAGAAAAGAGTATAGATGTCTTTACAAAGACGTATTCATGCGAGTCTCATAAAAATTCATCCAAAAGATATGCTATCCTTTGAAATATGCCTAATTTCACTAAAAAGGGGAGGTGTAGACCAAGCAGTCTGATTGAAAGATCATTTGTTTACAAATGACATTATTTTTACCGGTATATAACATGTGATGTCTAAGAAATACATTTTTTTCCTATTGTGCCAAAAGGCGGCTTGCCACTATTTAAAGATAATAACATGGATAAAATCCTTACAACGGATTTAGTACATGAAAGCAAAATATTCACGACAGACTTTGAATCGATTGTTTCGAATACGTACTTCAAACTCTCTCTATGAATATAACATTTATGATTGTGACGTCGAGGACACTTCTTCCTTACTGTTTCCTTCTTTGCTTTGAGAATTATTCACTAGTGTTACAGTAACTCTGCATCGAAGCAGAAACTACCATATAGTAACAAAGAGGTTCAACGTGAGAACCTCGATATTTATTCGAGGTGTCTCATAAGAGTCTCCAAGCAATTCTATCCTTAAGTTCTACAACTTGAGAGAAATGGAATGATTATCTCAACCAGTATTTCAGTTGTCAGCACTCTTCCTTTTAGTAATATATGAATCATTATCAGGTATCTAACTAATAATGATTTCCTCGATCAAGCAAAGCAGTAAATATTTTGTACTCTGATTTCATGCAATTTTGCATCAATATAGGGCGAGAGAGACGTGTTAAGATGTTATTTATTGGCATTCTGAAAGACGTCGTCATCCTCCGGAACTTCCTCCAAGTCTTGTAGTGGTTCCTCCACTTTTTCTTCAATCATCTCTATTTCATCCTCATCTTTGGCCCAGTTTTGAATTTCTCCGTCAGAGAAAATCAGAAAGAAAATGGCTCCCAAACAGTAGATAACAGCAGCAATGTAAAAAGCTACAAGCCACTCTTTTTGTGTTTTCTGGAAAGAAGAAAAATCATTCGACTGGTCTTTAATCAGAGACAAATAAAATAGCCGCTTCATTTGGCAGTCTCAGAAGTGAACTTAATTAATAATCCAAAACAAGAGTTAGATATGACCATTAAATATGATTACTCGAGAAGATCATCAGAAATCATTAGAGAGACCCATAAATACAACCCTGGATTACGTGTCACCAAACACCATCAAAGTGAAGGATATTTGACGATAATTAAATTTCAGTTCGTGTAATTAAAACCACAGATAAACAACTCTATTCTCCAAGATAACTAAAACCAATCAAACACGACAAAAGTTGATCACTTTGAATGTCCAACTTTTTAAAACGTTAAGATGAAACAAAACTACATTTCATTTTGTTGTAAATATTTTGTAAAGTAGATCTTAATAGACGTCCTGTTTATTAAAGCGAAAATTTAACACTTCAGCGAGTTCAATAAATTCAGTGACATGCTGCATTGCAATTGACCTGTAGAACAAAGTACTATTTACTTTGTCTGCTAACAAACATCCTTTGCAATAATTATGATTGGTTGAACGTTTTACACATACATGAAACATAAGGAGATAACGAAAAGTATTCAAGATCAAAAGTCCATAAAACAATACAAAATAGGAGCAGAGCAAACATGGACCTCCAAAACATCAGAGGTGGGATCAGGTGCCATGGAGGAGTGAGTATCCCCAGCCAACTGGTGACACCAGCCGTGTGCTCCTTGTCATGATCGGGAAATAACGGAAAAAATCTGTTGTCAGTTCAGTGTATAAATAATGTACTACCATTTCATTCAATGATAAATTAAATTTGCTGCCAAGGTCATTGTATCGACCATAGAACTTACGAAATGATGACTTTGATGGTGTTTTGGTTTATGGAAAGTAAAGGATATTTTCAGGCAAGCTTTGGCGAAGCTTAAGAAATAAAACCTACATTGACAGTTATAGATGCTACCACGTATGGTGCGATTATTCCCGGGATACTAGCTCCAGTGTTGGTGATCCCAAATATAGTACCCGCATAATTAGGGGCGATGTCGCCATGGTTGACAAAAACGGACGGAAATTGGAATCCACAAAATGCCAGAGACAACGTTAGGAGGGCAATAGCAGACTCTTGTTGGAAACACGTCATATAACCTAAACCAATCAGAAAGGCTGCTGGGACGAACTGTCCTACAGAATGAAGAAAACGTTATTGAACACAAAATTTTACTTACATATACATGTATTATCTATGCCATGCCAAATTCAAAAAATGAGCTAAAAATAGTTTCACAGTTGATAAACTAGGTTTATCGACTGTAAACTACTGTAGATCACTAAATTTTCGCGACACCTTACGAGGGGTGATCAAAAAGTTCGCGAACTATCTCTATATCTACAAAACCACCGTTCAGATTAGAATGAAATTCGGTACACACATAGCCATACACAAGGTCTATAAATAGCATATGCTTAATAAAGTTTTTCTCCTTGTTTGTGACGTCACAATGAGAAAATGACGTCACTTGTGACGAAAAATGGTTGTCTCAGTCGAACTCGTTAAACAAACGACTGTACAATTTATTGTATACATGTATCTTAGAAATCCCTTTGTAGAATCATATAATAATTTGTACACAGTTTATCAAGATAAATGAGTTCCTATAAATTCAATTAATGATTGGATTGATTGTTTTAGAGAAGGACGGCAGATGGTTAAAAATGATACTTGTCATCTTGCCCAGTGAAATCAAGTTTGAAAAGATATGTGTTTTTAATTAAGCAATTTGCTATCAAAGACCTCCAATTTACACTTTGAAATATAGTTGATTATTTGAATAATAACGTAATTATTAAATACCTAAGATATCGTTTACTTTAGATGTTAAACATATTAGATATGATAAAAAGGAGGCACCCATTCTCTATCCACCTTGAATAAAGGTCTCTACCGAGACAGAAGATTTGTGTTTTAATGGTCGCCATGCTTATTTTTGGAAAGGATATTCTTATCCACTCATTCTGTTGCCAAGATTTGACCATTTCTGACAAATGAACTGTTCTTGTCATAAAAATTAACTCACATGGAAAGAAATATAAAACTCAGAAAAATCTTTCAACTTTTGTGACAGACCGCCAATATCACGTGATTGGCGCATGTGCAGAACGGTGGTTGATGTGCATTAAAATTGGAGAGGATTAATTTAAAATATAATCAACATTGAAACCAAATATTGTTTCTTTTATGGAAGTTATTCAATTAGTTCGCGAACTTTTTGATCACCCCTCGTATTTTCGCGAGATAGTCATTGACTCTTTATAAGCGAGACATAATTTTCACGAATTTTAAAAATTTCTCTATATAATCTTAATGAATACTATTATACGCGAGAATGAAATGTTTGCCTGCTCGCTGTCTCGCGAAATTACGCGAAAATAAAGTTCTCGCGAAGAAAAGGTGACTTAGAGTATAGTTTACAAACCGTGAACTATAGTTAACAATTCATTAACTATAGTCTTCATCTGTAAAACTATATTTAACGGTTGTTAACTATAATTACGAGTGCTAATCTAAGTTTATCTGTACGAATTAAACGTTAACAATAGATTTTGTTGATAAACATATATTCACGTCTGTAAACTATAATTTACAATCGTGAACTTTCGTTAAGAGTTGTTAATCACAGTTTCACAAATCGTGAAACTATATTTATCAGATCGTTAACTATAGTTAAGAGTTGTAAACCATAGTTTATAAATCGTGAAACTGTATTTATCAGATAATCTATGTTTTACAATTGCAAATGATTGTTTTCAGTGTTAAGTATAGTTTACGGTTCTGTAACATAGATTATCGCGTTAACAATTGTTTACAGATGTAAAATATAGATAACGTTGTTAACTGTAGTTTACAGTCCGTAAACTATAGTTTACAACCGATAAACCTAGTTTATCAACTGTGAAACTATGATTAGCTCATTTTTGTGAATTTGGCGCGCCATAAATATCTATTGCTCTCTTTTATTATTAAACGAAAAATGATAACCATCATTGAAAGTGTACACCTGTATAAATATTTTCCTGTTAATATCAACTTATGAAAGTGTAGAAACTCCTTTTTTACCTATAGCACAAAAAAGCTTTCTTGTCCATTTAATGCTAAGAATATCCTTTGAAATAAGTGTGTCTGCAAATATTCCGGCCACAATGATCGTCACCCAGAATGCCAAGTACGGTATCATAGAATAAATGCCATTCTGAAATCAAAACACAACATGCCATTACTATTCTCAGATCACAAATGAATAGATTCAAAAAATAATAAATTTTCTGCTTTGTGTCGAAAGGAACGGTAATGAATCCGTATACGTAGCTCTATGGTTTTCTGTGTAAGTTTTCTCAACCAGAGAGCTACAGTTCTGCAGCTAGAATCCGTAATGCATTGAAACTGATATAATTAATGTTATGTAAGCCATATGGCAAATGCCAAAAAACCCTGCATATATCTCTAGCTAAATGTATGTAATTAAGTTTCTTACAGATTTGATATCGAATTTAAGAACTTCTTTCAGGTACGTAGGCATCTGAGTTAAAAGCATATAAGCACCATAGTTTCCTGCTGCATTGGTCACAAGAATAGCCCAAACAGGAAGTGACGTCAGAATGGATTTCCAGGGCTTACCCTACATAAAATGAGTTTACATGGTAATTATCTTCTTTAAGTCTTAGGATTGATATTCTACAACTAAACAACAAGTCGAACCTTTTTTCTTAAACCAGCATGCTGTGAATTGTGGTCATTTCCAAGCGAGTGTTCGATATATTTTTTCTCGACGTCTGTTATATTTGGCATCTCCCCTGGGCTGTCCCTGGCAAGGAATCCCCACAAGAACGACCAAACTAACGAACAGGATCCTAGAACGGAATTTTAAAATTCCTTAAAATAGTTTTCTTTGAAAAGTTTTAGTGATTGAATATGATTACATCATTTGAAAAAAAAGCTACCCTACACTAAAACAGAATTGATGACTTGTAGTAATATCATTAAAAAAATAAAAAGAGGTCCTGATATCATGAATAACAGAGGTACAAGTACTATTGTGAGTGTTCGAAAAGTCATCTTACATACAAACATTACTTTACTTTTTAACTTTTTTGTGAAAAAGGTTGATATCTTACCTAGAAAATAGAAAATAGATGGCCAGCCACCATATTCACAAAGAAGACTTGATATTGGAAATGCCAAAGCGTTTCCAAGCTGGGTCCCTGAAAAGAACGTTTATTATTGTATTATTATTAGTGTAGAACCTACAAAGTTAAAAAAAAACTTTCTTCATTTTTAAGCTCACCTCCGAATGCAAATGCTACAAGCCTGCTTCGTTCATGTGGGGGCGACCATTTTGCCCAAAACACTTGTGCGCCTGGATACATTGTAGCCTACAGAAGACATTTTTCCCGTATTTATTCGTATAGTGTAAGAAAAGAAGCTACAAGGTGAGAAGACAATTATGCTTACTTCGCCTATTCCAATAAGGGCACGTGTTATAATAAGTAAGTAAGGACTTCCTCGAGCAAGGACAGGGGTCAGAAGAGTCAACACAGAAACCAAAGTCATTCCTGCAAAAATAATACGGCGAGACCCAAAGCGTTCCGAAAGAACTCCTGACGGAATCTGCATCACTGTGTATCCCCAAAAGAAGGCTCCTAGAATTCCACCTTGAAGAGCTTTGTCCCAAGTAAACTCACCTTCCTATAAATAAATAACAAAAAGACATGTGATGGTCACATCTTGAGTATAGAACACGTACCTAAATCCTATACTTGTGGAAGCTATATGTCATAAGAAATAGACGTAGTATGAAGTGTTTTGAATTTCAATATTATGTTCATTAGAATAAATCCTACCTCTGTCTTAGAAGCAGGCGGTACTGGACATTTTCTGGCCACACTGGGTGGACCTTCTATCAAACTGCTCTTGGTGACGTTTTCAGTGAGTATATCGTAAATTGAAATGTTTGTAATGTTTGATTGATATATCGTGTTAGCTGCTGCAAGTTCTGCCCTAACCATACAGACAATAGCAATGCTGAGGTTGACTCTTTGGGCGTAAAGGAAAAAGAACCCTATAAAGCAGAGACCAGAGAAGCGTACCCTCCATGATGTCCACCATGGAACTGGAAAAAGGACAAGATTTTTATTTTAAAAATTAAGCAAAAAAATAGTTTGCATGTAATCCAATAATGGAAGGGAGAAACTTGCCTTCTTCTGCTTTAAGAGTAGGGGGTAACTTAAGCTCTTCGATAAATGCGGACACTGTAGAATCATGATGAGGGTAACTAAGACTGGAACTGCGCATGCGCCTAAAACTTGGATGCCTGGATTCACTTCCTGGACTCTGGTTAGGGTTGGAGTCTCTAAGACTCTTTCTACTTCGAATGACAGAACTTTGACCAGATTCTCTGCGCCGAATGTACTTGACACTGGGATGTTCAGATCCCTTTGTAGAATCATTCCTGGTCGTTATCACTAAACTCTTTCGGTCCGCGTTTTTCCGCGTTGGTGTCGAGTCCATAGAATCCTCATTATGATCCGAATCTGTGTTGACTGCACTCTTGTTTTGGACTGTTGTCGAGTCTTGTTCAGAGTTGTCCATCCCGACTGATTCTTCTTTACCAAGACTAAAGGATTATATGTTTCTGTATAATTATTGTATCGTGTAAGCTTTTGAATATTTATGTCCACAAAGTAAATGTAATATATAAACTATTGGGAATGTTATTTACAAGTATAGGAATTATATTATCAAAGTCACACAAAGCATAAAATTATGGGAAAATTCCAAGCTAAAATATTACCCTTTTATTAAACTATTAAATATATAAAGCAGATAACCAAAGAAATTTTGACCAGGAGAAATAGTTGAATTTACTTACCCAGTCAAATTATAGCTCCATTCAACACATCTATATTTGATGTTTTAAAAGTACAATTGTACAATAGCTAGTGTTCAGTGCGGATGCAACCAAAACTCGGATGTCCGGACAACTTGCACTTTTCAAGGAGATATGGCCATAAATCCAACCCTTTTTGAAATGACTACAAAATATTTTTTTCGCTAAAATTGCATTTTGCAAGGGGCTAGAATTTTGTCGTTGATTAGGATCAAAAGCGCACAACCATACAGACAAGTTTTCATGCCATTATCACAAAATTTGACACTACATCATCAATATAAGAGGAGCATCTCGCGAGAAGAAGTAAACTATCGACAAACACTATTCCGAACAGAATAATCTTTCTCTGTCTCCTTGTGTTTCCCATCATTTCATTCACTTTATGTATAAATCAGACAGATCGGAATTACCGCGAGTGGGATATCGATTTGTTTTCTTGCAAGAATTATGTGAATGACATTCAAGGTGAAATACGACATTCGTTCTAGAAAAGTCTTATATATACATGTATACATATATAAAAGAAAATATATTTTTTTTAAACTCAGTTTTTGGCACATTTTTTTTTAATTTACTATTGTTGATCTGTATACACATGTTACTTGATTTATCACTTTGGAAATGTAAATGAATCTTTACTAAGTTTTCTTACCTCTTTCTCCGAGAAGTTCCGAATGGCTTTTCCCTGCCGAGTTTCAGGTAAATTTTTAATTATCACTCGCAATATATCCATTTATTTGCTCATTATGTAATTTGTCTGAGAGATACCGGAACAGACAATCTTTGATACACACCAGTGCGTGATTAAACCGATTGCAAGTTGACTGCGTAGTTCATACATCGGCAAAACAAGGGCCGACATGATCATCGTCCTATCATCTGAATATTCATCGTAAACATCTTCAATGAAATTTTGTTTTTTATTTTTTAAAAATAAAGGAATAATTTTCCTATAATATTGATTGTTATCTTGGTTATTTGCTTTAAGGCACCCTTGGCAATACGGTTTTCGACAAATGATTTGTTCTGTAAAAATAAGGCATGGATTAATATGGAAGGGAATTACCGCCAAAAGTCTATGTATCTTGCTTTTATTCTTATTCTGCCTACTTCTTTATGCTTTGTTATTGTTGTAATTGTATGTCGCTTTATTGTTTTCATATTCGTCTTTATTACATTTCACTTTGACTTTTATCCTTCTTCATTTTGCCCTTACTTCTATGTTGCTTTATTCTTGTAAATTCATTTTACTTTCTTTTAAATTGATTCAGTTTCTTAAATGATTATCTCTATTACGAACGTGAATTCAATCACACAAAGAATGAAGCATATTCAATGAAGACGAATACAAGTTGTCAAAATTTAGTGCCGCATTATAACGCTAGGTGGCAGGGGTGTTCGCTACGAGTGTTGGTAAAACTAGGTAAGCAAACCCGGGCCGGGGTTATTCGAGATTTTTCAATTTTCTGCCTTAATACTGTATCAATCGAACTTCTGAACTGATCCAATGATGGAAACTCCATATTTATTTTCTCTGGGCAGACAGGAATAGCGGCCTCTTATTTCAGACATAACTTTATATAATTTGCTGAATATGTTCATTGAAGGGCCGACCCACTTTTTGTAAGGGTAAGGGTCAAATAAGGTTAATGTAGTATAGTAGGGAAAAATTTATTAAATTTGATACTATAGAAGAAGCTGAATCTAACCCAAAACCCACCCCGCCCCGAAATAGGATTTCAATGGCGTCGGACAAAGTGAAAGTTGGGGCCCGGGGGGGGGGGGCAAAGTGTAAGAAATTTTTTTTAGAACTTCAAAAAAAAAACTTGACAAGCCAAAAAAAAAAAGAAATGTCCACTGTCCAAACACAAAAATCCAATTTCGTGGAGGGGGGGGGGGGTGGTTTGAACCTCAGTGCCAATTTTTTTTTTTCAAAACACCACCACTTTCCCCATTTTAAACCTATACTGGACACGCCTTTTAAACCTATACTGCATCGTGTCCATGGAAAGGGGGGGGGCTAAACTTACGCAGCAATGTTCAATGTCTGTTCTAAGTCTATCTTTGGAAAGAAAAGTGGGGGCTAAGCCCCCCTCCCCCTCCCCGGTTCCGACGCCTATGTATTTTGTTTTTGTTTTTGTTTTTGTTTTTTTTTGCTTGTCAAGTTGTTTTCAGCCAGTTAGCTTGAATTTTTAAAAACGATGCTACGTCACTGTTCTCTCGCCTGAAAATAATATAACTTTATTAAAGTTATTTGTTGGATAATTGAATTCAAGTTTAATTGACATAAAAATGTTAAATATTTTGATACTAGTTACCCCTTATAAATTGAATTGTTTTTTAGGACCTTCCACTGAATTGAACTTTATTTCACGACAAATAGTAACTGCTCATGCGTGTGATTCTAGGGAAGGGGCTTTGCAAAGGAGTGAGGAGCGTTATGGGTAGGCGAAGTCGGAACCAGGCTACACCCCAGGCATACTAGAAACTCCCCGGTCTTCTTTTCTGCTATATTATTTTATGTTGAAATAGTACTTTTCAATAAAGAAAAGAAATATCTTTAGTACGCACCGTATTTTACATCAGCCAGGAGAGCTAAAAAAAATCTTAAAACTTGAAAATTCTATTTGGTGGTGGTGAGTGGGGGGGGGGGGGGGGGGGGGGGGGATTTCGTAAACTTTTTTCAGTACCATATATTACTCACTAAGTACATGACTTTTAAAATATAAATTGACTATTAGTGCTGCAACAAAAAGTGTAAGGGATGGCGGCAACAAGCCTTTCGCTGAACTTTGCCAGTAGTAAAAAGTCTGTTACGTTTAGGAAAATGTTTCGTGGCCACCCTCCCCTCTACCGGTGCTGGCGCGGATCCAGAAATTTTTTTCTAGGGGGGGGGGGGGGGGTTCCACCCCAGTCAAAAAAAAAAAATCCAACCCACAAATTTCTTGACAACCAAAAAAAAAAAACAAAACAAAACAAAACAAAAAAAAACAAAAACAAAAACCTAAACTCACCCAAACGTCAAAAACCTATTTCGAGGAGTGGGGTAGTCCATGACTTCTATTGCCTCAAATCCTTCACTTTTTATACCCATTTCACACATATTCATGTTTACCGGGTGGGGGATTCCAAGGTAATTTTTTTCTTGCTTTAGTATATATACATTTCTTAACCTTGTAAATTCCAGGGGAGGGGGGGAGGGCTGACCCCCGACCCCCCTCTAGATCCGCGCATGTGGTGAAACTTACCCCATAGGAGGTCGTTCAGACGGAAGTCAGTATATATATTGAGACTTGGGGGTGTGATTGTACATTGTATAACGTCCCTTTAAATTGGAGAATTTTTAACTCAAATGGAGAAGCCACCTCTTGCCGGTGGAGAGCTGCAAATTTGTCCTATATACCCGGCATTTATAGCCATTGAGCAGTGAGGGATCTTTTTTCGGGCCAGCACCTACTGCGATACGGGACCTCGGATAATACAGTCTAGATCTCATCCGAAGGACCGAACTCCACGTCCCATAGTGGGACTATGATTCGAACCCACGACGTATTGATCGACTCCTTACTACTGTGTTTCGTGACTCTAGAGCAGACGCCGTAACCACAGTGCCACGCGGGCGACTGCACCCGGGGGTGGGGTGAGGGGGGGGGGGGGCTGCGTCCAGGGGGGGGGAAGTCATTATCCATTAATACTCGTGAAAATTATCTATGTTTAACTAAATGTTTAAAATGATTTAATTATTAACCACTATTAAAATGATATCATTAAAAAAATTATTCATATAGGACGGATAACTTTTCTTCAAAAACTGAAAACGTTAGTATATAAACGTTGTTTTACGATTTTAAAAAAAACTATTCGGGGGAGGGGTTGCTATGAAGGGGGACGAATTGCTATATACAGCGAGATTTCCCACGGAAGACTAGCTATATATTGAAACTTCCCCGGGGGAAGTCTCATTGTATAATCTTCCGAAGGAAGCATCACTATGTAGACAGTCTTCCAGGGGAAATATTACCATCTTCCGAGGGAGTGGCATTATCGGGTACATACCTGAACTTATAACAAACATCATTTGAAAATTTAAGTTCGATTGATAAAGTATTAAGGCAGAAAATTGAAAAATCTCGAATAACCCCGGCCCGGGTTTGCTTACCTAGTTTTACCAACACTCGTAGCGAACACCCCTGCCACCTAGCGTTATAATGCGGCACTAAATTTTGACAACTTGTATTCGTCTTCATTGAATATGCTTCATTCTTTGTGTGATTGAATTCACGTTCGTAATAGAGATAATCATTTAAGAAACTGAATCAATTTAAAAGAAAGTAAAATGAATTTACAAGAATAAAGCAACATAGAAATAAGGGCAAAATGAAGAAGGATAAAAGTCAAAGTGAAATGTAATAAAGACGAATACGAAAACAATAAAGCGACATATAATTACAACAATAACAAAGCATAAAGAAGTAGGCAGAATAAGAATAAAAGCAAGATACATAGACTTTTGGCGGTAATTCCCTTCCATAGATTAAGAATCATTAAATGGCATATTAGATGTTTTGCAGCGAGGAACCTCGGAGCTATGTCCTGATGCCAGTTATCTCAGCTGGTGACCATTTCTGTAAGCCTTTATAATTACTGCTTTATCATATCTTTGATAAAAACAACATTTTAGGATGCTGCATTGTCAAAATCAATATGTGACATTTGTTGGTTGAAGTTATCTCTACTCACACTTGTTTCGCTGATCACGTACATGTATATGTGTATAATCAATATTTTTTTATCACAGAGAAGAAACTTCTTTATTTGCGATTTTTAATCTTTTCTTGTAATCTAGGGGAGTAGTATAAGACGCCTAGATGGCTGGGTCAACTGAGTGCACTTTTGGGGCTGAGGGGGATAGCTGGGTCAAGGGAGTGCAGCCCCTGGGGGGATAGCTGGGTCAAGGGAGTGCAGCCCCTGGAGGGGATAGCTGGGTCAAGGGAGTGCAGCCCCTGGTGGAGATAGGTGGGTCAAGAGAGTGCAGCCCCTGTGGGGGATAGCTGGGTCAATTCAGTACATATAGCCCCCTAAATATAGGGGGTGT